CACCAAATCTATCTGATGTTTAGACTCCAATGCTACGTCATATTGGAATCTATTACTACCCATGAGTTGTACTCTAATCTGTGGAGCTAGTGAGTTCTTGTAAACATTCTTTAAAAGCCCCAAACTTGAGAGATTCTACCAAGATCTGCTATCCTGACACCTGAGCTACTGTCTTTACCTTATCAGTCTAACCGTTGTCTCCCTATCAAGGACTGTTACATGTGAGAAATAACTAGAGCTTGAAGGTCAGCGAACACTTGTGGGGTCTCTAAGCTAGACCTGTCTGACCTTTCCCTGTTACATCAATTAAAGAGGTCATATTATGCTCATCTTCAGGTTCAAAATCTTATTTAGGAGTTGTACCAAAACAGGTTTACATGGTTTCATTTTCAAAAAACACCATATTTTTTGTCATACTGCACATTGCAGCAGCTCCTCTTTTCACCCTATGTGTTGAACGCTTCATTTTAGCTATGGAGTGGTACATCTCACCTCTACAAGACAGAGATGGGGACTCGAGTTAGAGACTCGGACTCGTCGCACACACAGTGACTTCAGACTCGACTTAAGACTCGTCCTCAAAAGAGTTCAGACTTGACTCGGACTCGAGGTGCGGGACTCGTGAACAATGTTTATTTTCAGGAAACGTCTGATGAGCTTGCTGTTATTCCCTGCGTCCGTTACCTATACCCTGCAAACGTAACACGTAACATCTGCTGCGCGCGGCCGCATGTGAGAGAGGACAGCAAACACCGGCAGCTGCTGAGCCATTCATCATAAACTTTGGCTTTAAAACTTCATACAGCAAGACCCAAACGCAAATAGGTTAGTAACCTGTGGTGAGTAAACATGTTAGCTCAGCATTGGCCATCTAACGTTAGCTTGCTTCTTGCTTCAGCTACGACCTACGAGAGGTTAACTCCGACTGTCGTTCCTTATGAAAAGACGAATGAGCGTTTGTTTACTTGCCAAACTTGTGGTGGTCAATAAACGTAATTATTTACGTCCCGCTGGCTGCCATAACGTTAATTATTGCCGTTGGCTAGAAAGAGGTTACAGGTTTATTGTTGAGTTACAGTAGTTTAAGCTGTCATTGATTGCATTGCACATTATAGTTGTGCTCTGTGAAAAACAGGTTACAGTTTATTGTTTTGAGAGTGGGGGATGTGTTGACTTACAGTAGTTTATAAGCTGTCATTAACTGCATTGCACATTACATGGTTGTGCTCTGTAAGTTAAAAACATGTTACAGCTTTATTGTTGACCATGTAACTTTACATTTTTATTTAGTTAACTTTACACTGGGTTTGAGAGTCAACAGGGTTTGTTGACTTACAGTAGTTTATAAGCTGTCATTAATTGTAGATGCATTGTACATTAGGCTACATGGTTGTGCTCTGGAAGTTAAAAACAGACAGGTTTATTGTTGATTATGCAACGTCACAGTTTTATTTAGTTAACGTTACACTGGGTTTAAGAGTCTAGAGAGTGTTCTGACTTACAGTATTTAATAAGCCGTCAATATTTGCATTGCACATTACATGGTTGTAATGGTTACAGTTACAGAATCCCTTATAGCTATGCAGTTTTATTAGCAACCTGGATTGAACGCAGCAGGTGATACAGCATTCATAATAACCACGAGAGACTTGAGACTTGACTTGGACTCTTGCTCAGAGACTTGTGAGCATCTCTGCTACAAGATCTTTGTTGGGAGTTCACATGCGCAGTTCCTAGGTAAGGACTACTAGCCAATCAGAAGCAGAGCACTTTTTGTTAATTCTAACTTCTTTCCCTATGTATTTACCCCATTGATGCGATATGTGCCATTAGCACTTACTAGTATTTATTGCTGCTTTTATTAATATGTATTGTCAGTTGTAGATCTCATGCTGTATTTTATGCTCTGTTAATGATCGTATGTTGTTCTTCAAATCTAAGTCGCTTTGGATAAATACGTCTGCCAAATGAGTAAATGTAAATGGTCATTCATAATGTTTTGACTGAGCACTGCTTCTTCATCACAGTAACAACATTACCATTGACCGCCTGGAGGGTAGTTAATGTTTGGAAGGGAGAGGTGCAGCTCAGTGTGTTTTTCCACCTGTGTTTTTGAGGGCGTTTCTGACTAGCCGCTTGGTGAACATTATAACATGCGTTTTGCTGTGTCGTCACAGGGATCAAAGGGAAAAGGCTGGACTACAAACAAGCTGTTTTCAGGCAGTACAGAGCAGTGTTTTCTGTGGGAGATGGGAACTCCCTTTGGGATGGACTTTGGGCTTTTTCAGCAACATGGACTGGAGCAAGAGCTTTTTCTTTGCAAACCTATTATATGCACAAAAAAGATATATAACTTAATAAAGGAGAGGATAAAGGCCAAAAAGCATAATACCACCTCTTTAAGACACCTAAGAATAGAATTCTTAGACACAGTCTTCATGTTAAACTAGGATAACTAGCTGCTGGATCTAACTTCATATTTAGGGTATAGTCATGCGTGTGGTATCAATCTTCTAATCTAACTTAGCAAGAAAACCATTGAGCATATTTCCCAAAATGTCAAACTATACATTCAAAGAATGACTAGAGGACTACGGTTAACCTCAAACTCATCTCACTCATGAGGCAGTCAATGAATTATATTCTTTGTGAACTTGTAAAGTATCTGTAAAACTGTTGTATTCATTTGACATGCCAACAACAGGAAAATAAACCTTATACTGTTTTAGACTTTATATACAGAGAGCCAGAGATTCAGTCTGATTTTTGGGAGAACACATTTTGGCACAACACAAAGCCATATTCTGTTTAGATTCTGCTCCCTGCCTACTCACACTTTCTACTGTAAAGTGATGGAGCAAGCGAGTGACCGGCATCCAACCCATATTGTTCAAAAGCAAAACATACAAATGGCAAATAGGTATTTGAATGTTGATTACAGTAATTACCATCATGATATATTACCTCTTCATTAGACATATCTGTCGGACCTAGCTAGCTTACTTGATTTGATTTATGTTAATACAGCCTGTTGCCAGGTATCTGTGGATGACTAATGCCTTGGACAACTCCTGATAAAACTTAATGCCTTTTTAATGCTTTTATAGTTCAAATTGTAATATTTCCATCAGTGTGAAGCTTACCAATGTGCAGGATGACATCGTACATGCCAAGCTGTGTCTCCTTTTGCAGTCGAGCCAGAGACTGAGGGTTCTCATTGCCCAGGTCACCATACAGAGCAAACCTGGGGCTAAAACTAGTGCTGTCATTCAGAGCAGTGAAGGAGAACAGATCGCTCCAGCCCTCATCACTCCCACAGTGGTAGACTGAAATTATATAGGAGGACAAAAAGCTTTTGAACATTCATATGGGAAAAAAAGTGAGTAATGTTAAAGTGTCAGCCTACCATAAGCAGCAGCAGGTTTGAGGTCTGTGAGCATGACTCTGTGGACGTACATCTTCCTCTTCTCCTCTCCTGAGTCCACAAACAGAGTAGTGTCCCCTCTGGCGCTCATCTCAAAGAGCCGACCACCCAGAAGGCCGTACTCCACCTCACTCTCAGTCTTATTGAAGGTGGTCCAGGTCACTACCATTGAACCTGGCACTCCTGTGATGAAAAGCCCAATTGTTGGAATCGTGATGTAGACTGATCTGACAGAACTACTGGATTCACTTAATGGTGCATTTATAAAAGAGATGTAGCCAACAGATACTTATGAAAAAGCTGACTTTGCACATGAGTACCACTTTTGATCTTGCCGCTGGCAACATATAACCACCAGAAAGCTGAGTTAAGCGGACGACTGGCCAGGTACTTATTACATCAAGACATCAATTCATTTAATGACTACCACATTTCACCTTCATAAGGAATGAACGAAAGAACCTTTATGCTGCATGAACCGAGAGTAACAGTTGTCTGGTGCCTTTAACCTAAATAACTTTCAGAGAGTATACAAGTAGTGTTTTAGTGCACTAGGAACAGGAAAATTTATTTTACATTACATTTACCTGACGCTTTTATCCAAAGCGACTTACAATTGCTATACATGTCAGAGGTCGCACACCTATGGAGCAACTAGGGGTTAAGTGTCTTGCTCAGGGACACAATGGTGGATGTCTCACAGTGGGAATCGAACCCACAATCATCTATGCGCCATCACCACTCTACTGAACTTCAGTGAACTTGGTGCAGGCCTCCAGAACAATAACAGAAAGTTCAGCTCCATAAATACACCAGCGCTATCAGTCATCATATTACTGAGTGATTTGTATAAAAACATCTGTAAATCTGAACTCCATATGATCTGGATTCTGGAATATATTACTAAGGGGAGAAAACATATCCCTAAATAAAAACACATGAGGCTGATGGGGAAAATTCAAACTTACCTGGATAAGAGAGGTGCACCTGCTCAGGTTGGGTGAAAATGGGAGGGACACCAAGCACCAGCAGGGGTGCAAGGCTGAACAAGACACAGGCAGCATGAACAAGAACCATTTTAACACTGGACTGCTGGACCAAAAGACTGGCTGAAGTTGCAACACACACCTAGAATATAAAACAATTGTGTAACTGTTATCACATGACTTTCAAAGCTTTTGTGGCAAACATCACATGACGCTGAGTCCACTGATTTGAAACCAAGTGGATCAATGTGTCTTTTTAGAAATGCTACACAATAGAGCCTCCTACCTCCACTTCAGAGCCAGTTTATGCAGTATTTAGTGGCAACAACACACACGCACACACACACACACACACACACACACACACACACACACACACACACACACACAGACCATGATTTGGTCTCAAATGAGGACCTCTACATCAGTCACCCCATATGATGAACACACAGAAGCAAAACGGCAGATTCAGCGAGAGTGACGGAAAGAGATGATGTGTCAATAAAAGCAGCTAATATTGTCCTTCATTGGGCATTCAGGGAAATTCTGCTGTCAAAGTGAGTTCAAGTGCAGCTGAGATTAGCACACACAAGCCACAGCTTGCCTCAGATCAATAAAGTGCTAAAGTAAACAACTGATATGCCTCACTGATCAGATAAAGGCATGGCTCATCAAGACAAAAGTACATTATGCATTACAGCCAAAACACCATACCAGCTGATCTCCTTTAATCAGTTATGGTAACTGAGATCAGCTGAATGGGAGCATGACTTACAACCACAAGTCTACACCACTACTTTAAAAAGTGTTTGGTTTTGAAAATTGCACCAATAATATCTCAGAAGTCGCTAGAGGGTGCACACTGCACAAGTTACATTGTGAATAGGGTGCTTTATTCTCTGATAATGGGTGGTATTAGTTGAAACTGGATGTTGGCTAAGTTAGTTAGCAGTTGCCTTAAACAATCAGGGTGGAGGTTTAACTATATTGTCTCTGCGTAGGAAAAGAAAACAAGGTGAGTAACTTCAACCATTTTGGATAAGTTATATTTCACGTTCAAAGAAGGTTGTGACGCTATGTCCTAGACCACTGGTTGTAACCATGTTGTAACCTGCAACCAGCTGTGTTTGACGTATTGCTTCTTAGTCGGCAAAGTTAGCTTAATTCTAACCACTGTTGTTATTGTCATCTTCAGTAAGTTACGTATAACGTTACGCACAACAGAGAACCCGTTTTATTTATTCTGCGAACAGTGCTTACCGTGTAACTGTTTAAATGCTTACTCTGGCGCACCGCACACGTTAGCTAAATGTGAAATAAGTGACTAAAAACACTCACAACACGGCTCAGCTGTAGCGTCCATGGTTTCTTATTGAACTGCGCTGGTTTGAGCAGTTCCTGACTACGTCATTGCACAGAACAACAACAGTGCCCACGTGGATTGTGGGAAATTGTGTTTTAATGTGCGGAGCCTGGAGAATCTGTAAGACTGGAGGATGAAAACGGATATATATATATATATATATATATTCTTTTTCCAACAACCTCTCCCTCAATGCCTGTTTTCTTACCATACTGGCTTAATATATATTTGCTACTTAAATACATAACAAAATGCCATGTTGATGCTTTGAATAATAGATTTAGAGACATGACTTTAACTTATTAAAGGGGTCTTCTCTTTCTCTAGGTCTAATGGACTCCAACAGTGAAGACGGAGAGTACCAAAATGCTCAATATGCCTTCCAGCAGGATGCAGCCCATTGCAGGGTGACATATCCTTACAGGAGAAACACAAACGAGGTGAGCTGGGTGACACATTATAATATATTAATGTATTTCTGTATGCTGCTTATAATTGTGTTAATTTTCACTATGCTCAATCTATTATTATATGCAGATGGATTATAATAAAAATGAGGAGTTCAACAAGAAGAGGTAGGTTGTGCATGTTTTGTGGATACATTACAGCAACTGCATATAATGTAATTTGGATGTCAACAGATTGAACATTTCACCCTGCCCAGGTATCCAGTGAGTCGCTCTGGCAACAACCCAGGCAGAGTGAAGCGGATTGTGTCATGTAAGAGGAAGACCCATCATCTGACGGTGGCTCGGAGGAAGCAGATCGGGACCGGGAGGGCTTATGATGCTGCAAACAAGGAGAATGAGATGAACTGCATGCAAGACATGCAACAGGAGCTATGTGACATGGACCCTTGGGAGTTCCCACTAAATGTCAGTTATAATCACAAGACTGGTAGAACAGGTTCTGAGCAAGCTGACTACTGTACACTCACTGAGGTTAGAAATACTATTACGGCTCAGACTGTTTCTTGAGGGTATTTTTAATGAATAACTGTGTTACTAATGTGCAGACAGAACCTGAACCTAACAATGTTTTTCAGCTCACTGGGGATCATGGCACAATGACTGATGTGCTCTTCGGAAGACATCTGAGACTGAAAGTGTCTCTAACATTGTGGCAGAGAAATGTCGGAGAGCTGTTGACATACTTTCTGAGGTATGTACACGTAGTGTGTGGTTGGTTTCAAAAATGTGACGTGCACTATGTTCAGTACTATGACCTGCACTATGTTCAGTAACAATACAAAATCACAATAATTAAAATAAAATAAAATAAAAAATAAAATCAGACACAGACTTCAGTGTAGACAACACAAATATACACACTATGAACAAAAACAATATAGACATATTGACAAATAGTGCAGTGAGCAGAGTGCAAAGGATGCAGGAGTATGTACATGTCGTAGGTGGATGTGATATACAGGTACATATACATGCATACATGTACACATGTACACAGTGCAATGAAGCATAGTGCAAAGGATGCTAGAATAAATAAGTATAAGTATTTTGTGCAGGAGTAATGACTTGAGGTAGGTGGATTTGGTATACAGTATCTATAATATGACAATATAACAGTATGAACAGCACTGAAATAGAGAATGGTGAATAAATAATATGTGTTAGCCAGTAAACAGGTGGCTGATAAGAGACAGAGTTACTGGGTTATTGCACAAGAATAGTTCCTAACACCGTGAGTCAGAGTCAGCTGTTTATCAGAGTGATGGCTTGTGGGAAGAAACTGTTCCTAAATCAGTTGGTTTTGGCATACAGTGCTCTGTAGCGCCTACCAGAGGGGAGCAGCTGGAACAGATTGTGTCCGGGGTGAGATGGATCTGCAGTGATGTTTCCTGCCCGTTTCCTGACTCTGGAAATGTATAAGTCCTGCATGGATGGCAGGTCGGCAGCGATGATCTTTTCTGCAGTCCTGACTGTCTGTTGTAGTCTGTCCTTGTCCTTTTTGGTGGCAGATCCAAACCAGACAGTGATGGACGTGCAGAGGACAGACTGGATGATGGGTGTGAAAAAACGGATCAGCAGCTCCTTAGGCAGGTTGAGCTTCCTGAGTTGGCGCAGGAAGTACATCCTCTGCTGGGCCAACAGCCGACACAGGGCTGTTGAGTATGGTGATGGGGGCAGAGTTTGGGGGGGCTCCTCCTGAAGTCCACGATCATCTCGACAGTTTTGAGTGGAGATGTGGGGCCCTGTGGGGCGCCAGTGCTGATAGTCCGGGTGCTGGATGTGATGTTCCCCAGCCTCACCTGCTGACTCCTGTCAGTCAGGACGTTTGTGATCCACTGACAGGTGGAGGCTGGCACAGTGAGCTGGGTGAGTTTGATGCTGAGGATGTCCGGGATGATGGTGTTGAACACCGAGCTGAAGTCCACGAACAGGATCCTTGCATATGTCCCTGGAGAGTCGAGGTGTTGCAGGATGTAATGCAGTCCCAAGTTGACAGCATCATCCACTGACCTGTTAGCCCTGTAGGCAAACTGCAGGGGGTCCAGCAGGGGGCCTGTAATGTCCTTCAGGTGGGCCAACACCAGTCTTTCGAAGGACTTCATGACTACAGATGTCAGGGCGACGGGCCTGTAGTTTTTTGGGGACCAGGATGATTGTGGAGCATTTGAAGCCGGAGGGAACTTCACACAGCTCCAGTGATCTGTTGAAGATCTGTGTGAAGATGGGGGCCAGCTGGTCTGCATAGATTTTCAAGCAAGATGGAGACACACCATCTGGGCCAGGAGCCTTCCTGATCGTCTGCCTTTGGAAGAGGTGGCTCTCGTCCTCTTCACAGATCTTGAGTGCATAGTGTTGGAGCGGGGGAGAGGTGTGACTGTGGGATATTCAAACCTACAATAAAAGCCATTCAGCTCGTCTGCTGGGTGTTGAGTACCAGCAGTGTTGGGGGATGGTCTCCTGTAGTTGGTGAGTGTCCGCAGGCCTCTCCACACTGACGCAGGATCGTTGTCTGCAAAGCTGTTATTTAGCTTTTCAGCGTAGCATCTCTTTGCTGCTTTGACCGCTTTAATTAGTGTGTTCCTAGCCTGGGTGTACAGGACTCTGTTCCCACTTCTGAAGGCCTCCTCCTTGGTCTGACGAAGCTGCCTGAGTTTCAATACTATTGTTACTTCCCTGTCTTTGTACAGAATCCAAGACGTTGGTGTGTTTGTTGACTTTCTCCCACTGATAAGCAAAAGGTGAGTGGATCTGGATTTTGCAAAAGTCTAAGGAATACTGACTACAAGTGGATTTTGCAAAGGTTTGAGGAACACTGCACTTCAGTAAAATTTTCTCTGCAGCATTGATGAGGATTCCCCCAGGATCACCATTGGCTGTTGTGTTGACATCTTTCCATTAGTTAAGAAAGTCCTCATCACTCCATATGAAGAGTGAGTACTCCTTTATTTATTAATTATTTGATTATTACAGAATGAAATACAGATTACTGCTCAGAAGTACAAAGAACTGAAGATTGTCTTTGATTCTCACAGGTACCTGATTGTTGGTTTAAAGTGGATAAATTCAGTTTTGAAAAACTGGTGGGAGGAACTAAGAGCAAGTGGCTATAGTGGATCAACTAAACCTCTGTTGGATAAGTAAGTGTTGCTGTGTTTTATGAGCTGTAAGATACTTTAAAGAGATTAAAGATGTGTATATCCAAGGAACATCAAAGCTGAAAAACAAGTTGGAGGTAAAGAAAATAACTTAATGCTAATTAATAAAAATAGGTGTGATCATCCCCATCATTTGTTCAGTCACTCAACATGTTACATAGATACATAATAGTCACTAAACTGTTTATTTGACTTTGTTACAGAAATTTCCAGGCCTTTAATCAGCAGTTATTGGGGTTGTGGTATCAGGAACCGTTACTGAAATCTGTCCCTGGAACTGCTGGAGACATGGCAAAGGTCAGAGCTGCATGTATAAATAAACCCTCACCACTGTGATTTTTGGCTTTGAGTTTTCTTTCTGAGAAATGTCTTACGTGCATCATCTCTTTACCCTTAGGTCATTGATTCTTTCCTGTCTCAACTTACCTGACGGCAATGAAGAGCTAGATAACAAATCATTCTCTGGGAGCAGACCCACAAAAATTACTAGAATCCTTAGTAGTATCATAAGATGAGGTGATGTCTGTAGAGCTTGATGTATTTATTGGCTTGCAGAGCAACTTGAACAGAAGTACTGAGAATTTGCAATATAAAGTAATTCAATTATGTACCAAATTTGATGTGATTGTTCTGTCATTGTGCATTTTTAGTTTTATCACAGAAACTCCAAGGCTTTTGTGAATTTAAGAATGAATGTTAGCATTTTGTTTCATTGATATGTTGTATCTTTAATTGCCCCATTGATGAATAAAGTTTGTTTAATTATTTTTTTATTTGTCTTTTTGTTAGTTGTAATTCCTTGATTTGTGTTCCATACAATATGATTGTGGTCCTGAGCAAATAAAATAAATGGATGAAACGATATGTTTCCATTTTAATTATGCAAACACAAAAACACACACTATCCTTCACACTGTGAAACTGTACATGCTGTACTTTAACACTCAACACTCTACTTTACCTCAAGTACAGTTGGGTGAAATGACAGGTAGAAGATGACCAGCAACACATTTTATTTGAACCCCTACAGTTCAGTCTCAACTGGACTTCAGCCTCATTCTGTGTTGATGTGATTTAAGTAAGGCAGAGATATGGGTTCACATAGCTCATATCTCTACATTTACATGTGGGTTTATCTCACTTGACACAGATAAGTAGAGTGTTGGTGTCATTGTGATGCGAACCTGAGGTTGAAGTCCATCTGTGGCTCACTCTGAATCTAAACAGTCGAGAGCACTGTTTGCATTCTGGTGCTCTCCATTCAGTCAGTGAGGTCTAATACAGTGGGAGTGTGGGAAAAGATTTGGGTACAGAGAACCACATATTTCTTTTGCCTCATATAGGGGGCTCAATAAGGTAAGCACATTGATTTTACTTTTCAAGATACCTTCCTTTTTTATAGTAGAGTTTTGCTGTGTGTTCTTCATTAGGTTCACCCAATTCAATAAGAAGCTTCCAGTACTGCGGCATTAACTAAACACTGTTGGTTTGACAGTAAAGGAAAGTGAAGGATGAAGTGTTTGAGATTCTGGCTGCCAGCAGCAGCCCTACTACTGCTTAGTGTGGCCGGAGTTGAGCATCTCCAAGCTGAGAACCTGAATCTTATTCCCCCAGATGAGCATAACATGGTCCTGAACCCTGGAATGAGAGGTATTTGTTTGTGTAGACTTTCACTTTCAATTTGACTTTTCTTTTTGCTGTCTATCTCAATAATGTGCTTTGATTGCAGTGGTTGGGAAATGAAATGCACATAAGTTGTGTAAAATCAAACTCTGGCTGATGAAAATGGTACACTGTGTGTGTGTGTGTGTGTGTGTGTGTGTGTGTGTATGACAGCCCTGTGATTGCTTTTAAATAATGAATTACCTTTATCTCAGATTATCTATGTGGATTCTCCTGTGAGTGTGGGTCAAACTCCAGGCTGTATACCCAAATTGCTTAGTGACTCATTAATGATAAGTGTTACCCGTGAAGTGATTTGTGTATGTGAGTAAGATAGTTTGTTTGTTAGTTGTAATAGTTTGGCAATTGATCAAGGTTTTACCATGTTTACCAGGGAAACATTGAGAAAGAGGGTTGGTGTGCTGTTGCCGTTCCTGCTTCTACCGTGGAGCTTTTGACACTCCCACTGGGAGTGCTGAAGTTGAATATTTTCAAATCTACTGATATGTTAATTTGATCAACAGTACTGCCTAGAGACTGCTATGAAATGCTGATGACCTCTTCAGGCCAAGCCAGAGACGGGGTGTACCTGATCCAACCAGGTGACTCCCCCATCGTGGCCTCCTGCGCCATGCAGGAGGGAGGCTGGACCGTGGTGCAGCATATTACTGTCAATAGCAGCGTGAATTTCGATCGTACCTGGGCTGAGTACAAGTATGGCTTTGGGGATGTAACTGGTGATCACTGGCTTGGGAATGAATACCTTCATCAGCTCACACGAGGCCCCGGGCGCTATAAATTGGGAGTAAAACTAGTGGACCGAGACGCCATCACCAAGACAGGGGAGTACGATCCATTCCTGGTGGAGGATGAATCATCAGCATACAGGCTGAGGCTGGGGTTGTTCCAGGGCACAGCTGTAGACGCTCTGACTCTGGACACAGAGAACTACCTGCACGACAACCAAAGATTCACCACTAAAGACAGAGACAACGACAACTACTTTCAAAACTGTGCTAAGCTGGAGTTTCAGGGGGTGCCAGGAGGAGGTTGGTGGTACGACGCCTGTGCTGGGGCCAACCTCAATCGCAGGAATGTCATCTACTGGCAAAAGGACTGCAACAAGGAGCGACTGTGTAAGTACGCATGGATGATGGTGAGACCGTCAGACACAGTGAAACTGATTCACAGTGGAGACTGCAAGAAGGATGAGCTATAAGGACATGATTTGTGATACTGTATCACAGTGGGTTTGGCATCTTTTGAGGGCCATTAGTTTAGTTTATTTGTTTTTTAGGTTTTCTTTTCAGCAAGCACTACAGCAGGCTATGTCAGTGATTTTCTCCAATAGTGATTAAGACCTTCAGTTCACCACATTTTATTCAGAAATGCATCGACATGATCACAAAATACTGAAAAGAACAAACAATTAATCACAAACTTGGAACACAGTATAAAAATGCAGTATGGGTTTAGCTCTATTTTTGTTTCCATCATACACCATGTCAATACATAAAGCAAAGCATTTCATTCCCCAAATTGCAAGTGCAGATTTATGGTTTATCACAGTTACAAAAAAGTTTTTCATGACATTATAGCTTATGACACATGTAAAACATAATTTGCATGTCATCTCCCATCCAATGCTTACAGAACATTTCACATACAGCTTCTTTGCCACAGTACATTACAGGTTTACCAGAAATAAAATGACGATATGATGAGATATTGATTTAGCTACAGTAGTTCAAAGAAAACAAATACTGTATTTCAATGCTCAAAGAAAAAGAAAATATCCTGAGGATGAAGAGTAATAAACAGATAATAATAAACAATTTGTGCTCTTAAATCCTCCACACTTTACCCATTGTAAACACTGACAATGCTTAGCAAGTTTGTCATGTAGTTTGAGTAAATGACTAAAATGAATTCTTAGTTTGTATGGGTTGTAGTATGAACCAGTAGGGTATTCGTTTTTGTAATTTAATTAATGCAAACTTTACTCTTTGTTTTACGTCGAGATTTTGCAGGACAGAAAATGCCAAACATGTAATGTGAAAACAGTGAGGTCAGACAAATGATATTGGCACATGTGAAAAGGCTTTGATTATCATCAAGTTACAATCTCGACTTAGCAAGCAGATCAGGACAACACATATTAGCCCTTTAAAAATAAAATAGCCATTCCAAAATGTGCACCCTCAATACAAACACAAATCATACAGAATAAAACATATCTGCATGTGTTATGATACTTTGGGTGTAAGAGCATCAACTTGGGGGAGGATTTTGGCAGTTGTTAATACTTTTAAACCAGTGTACATTATTAGATTGGTCTCCAGATATCACTCTGTGCATCTTGAATATAAATACAGCAAGAGTGTACATTTTGGGAGGAAATACTGGTGTTTTCTTAACATTTTAGAATCTATTTACAGTGTTACTGATTATATTGGGATGATTTTACAATGTTCTTCCATTCCCAAAGTTTGAGCAGTAATTAACATACACTATAGCACGCCTACTGATTAATGAGTAACACTTGCTCCTTGATATAGTATGTTTACTTTGAAATCACCTAATATGTAGAACTCAAGTTCATAAAGCCAAGATTGTTAATATATTTTATTTACAGCCATCAACTTAGAAAAATAATAGTTCATGTCAGTTTAGAGCTGACCACTGGATTTTGCCCATACCAGTATAGTTTCTCCTCAATCCTTTTCTTCTTCCACTGGCAAAGTAAGAGCATACGGAAGGTCTTCTGGAAAGTCTTGTTACAAAGCGCGTAGCACATGGGGTTGACGGTGCTGTTGACGTAGCACAGCCAGTAGCCCAGATGCCAGAGCGAGAGGGGAATGCAGTCTGAGCAGAAGGTGGAAATAAGCACCATGATGTTATAAGGCGTCCATGTTAGGATGAAGGCCAGCAAGATAGCACTGAGAGTCTGAGCTGCCTTCCTCTCCTTGATCAGCACCATCCGCTTCCTCTTCGTGATCTGGTTCTTCAGCGTGGCGTCTATGGGCTTAGATGCCGACGAGGTGGATGGAACGCTCATGGACTCAGCCGAGGAGAACGTTGACGAAGCCATTTTGGTGTCTCCGTTTTTGCTGTGGTGTTCCACGTGAGTGTCTTTGGCCACAGGCTTGAACTTGTAAGACACACACTTGCTACTCCTCTGAGAGTTACTTTTGGGTGGTGTCTGGAAGAAGCTATCCTCTTCATAGCTGCTGAGCTGCTCGTTCTCGCTGCCCACCCCAGTCTTGATGGTCTCACAAGCCTGGTTCCTGAAGGAGGGCACCTGGAATCCACCTGGAGACACAGGCCTGTCTTCATCCTCGGAGGAGGCATAACTGTTGAAGGTGGTCAGCTGACTAGCTTTGGACCACTCGTCATTGGTGGTGGCTGCTGATTTGGCAGCATTGCTTCTGCTGGAGGAAGACCAAGAGGCTTGATTCCTGTCATTTGAAGCCGATCTTAATTTACAGCTAAAACAGGATCTGATAATGGTCTTCTGAGGCTGGGTGACCCCTGGTTCTGTGGGATAGTTAATCCCCTGCAACTCCGCCAGATCTTTGGTTCTCTTCTCTGTCTCCTTGTAGATTCGACAGTATAGGATTGTCATGACAGATACAGGGATATAAAAGGCAGCAATTGCTGTCCCAAAGGTTATCACAGGCTCAGAGAAAAACTGGATCTGGCATTGCCTCTCAGGGACAGTCCTTTTTCCTACAAAGTACTGCCAGCATAGAATAGGGGGGGCCCAAAGGATAAGTGAAACCAGCCAGGCCAAACCTATCATGATCCCGGCTCGTTTGGGAGTCCGTTTGGCCCTATAGGTCAGAGGTCTGGTGATGGAAAAATATCTATCAAAACTGATCACCAACAGGTTCATGACTGAGGCGTTACTGGCTACATAGTCCACCGCCAACCACAGATCGCAGGCGAGGTTCCCTAAGGCCCAATAGCCCATCAGTATGTAAGAGGTATACAGATTCATGGAGAAAACGCCTATGATGAGGTCAGCAGCTGCCAGACTCAGCAGGTAGTAATTATTCACTGTCTTTAGCTGGCTGTTGACTTTAAAGGAGAGCATCACCAGGACATTCCCCACAATGGTGATGAGACTGACTATAGCTGACACAGTCGCAATAGTGATCACTTCCCAGAGACTGTGAGGAACTAGGTGGCTATCCATTGTACTGGCATTTACAGTGGAGTTCAGTATGTTCTCTCCTTCCATGGTCCTATTGTGTTTGATAGCATCCAAGAATGACAAGGGCATTTGGATTTGTCATTTTCAGGAGGATCTCCTGAAAAGAGAAGAAAGAAAAAGTTAGTGTTGATCCTTCCAAAAAGGTTCCTTTCATAGCCACTAGATGGCAGAAACTCAGCATGTTGAGCATCAAATTTTCATTTTCATAAAATATTCACACTTGGCTTGACACTAAGAAGGAGAATATAAACGTAATATATAATATAGTGTAATATATAATGGATGATACAGTGAATTATATATAAAGTTGGTTTTCTCTGTGATTTGTCATTGCATCTTCTGAATAAATGTCATTAAGCTATTGTCTTTACACAGTCATACACATCTGATCAAGCTTGTGGGTGTACCCATATGGAGTGTTTTAGGCAATCTCTGCAAACATCTGTGACACATTTAAAAAAATCCAGGTCATTACATAATGCTATTCCTTGCTCTAAATCTGTGCTGTTATATTAATAGTGCATAAAGTCTGTTCATAGTTCACTAAGATGTGCATGTCCTTAGTGCTTACTAGCTTTATAGCTTTTGGGGTTCTTCTTTTTGTGTACAATGTGATGCACCTTGTGATGTCCCTGGATAACATGTATGCATCAAATAGTAAGTGTGTAGATGTAGCATTATTTGAAATGTATCTGCTATAATTAGTTAATTGCTGTGGAAACGTTGCACAGAATCATTGGGAGATGGAAAAAAAATTGGTAATACCCCGAAGAGGTTACCAGTTTTTGCAAGATTAACACAAAGAAAGAACAGCTCATTCACAGCTATGGGCACCTTCCACTTCACCTGAGCTGCATGTTATTGGACTGTAGAAGGAAAACGTATTGCCTGGAGGATAAGTTAATCAACAGTGAGTATCAAAGACAGGTCATTACTATATCAATGTGAACAGTTGCACCCAACCAGTTATTAAAATACAATCTGCATGGCCAAGCATTGCCAAGTCAACCTATGTGAACATTTGCATCTCCTGATCACAGACATATTGTACAGTGGCAATCACAAAGGCTAATCAAATATAAATATAACAAGACATTTCTTTATCCTTATTAAGCCAAATGTGACTAAATGTGTTTCATTCAAATTGTTGCAGAACTATTGTTAGAAGAAATCATCTTTGGTGCACTTTAAGGGAGCCAACACTGTACATTCAGCCATGAAATATGTTGAAAGTGTATAAAATGACAGAAGTACCCAACTTTGAGGTTGATGAAACATACAAATCTGCCTACATTTCAAACTCACTGACAGCTAATTTGTCAGCCGTGCATTCACTTCCAATTTATACTTCATTTTTAAGAGTGATGTTCCTAAAATAACCAATTAAGCAAACATTTTCTGTGTGGAGAGCCTCTGCAATCCCCTAGTCATGCAATATACTCCCTTTCTGCAGCAATTTAGTCTATTAGCAGATGTGCATGGGTGGTCATTTCCCTCTTAAAACCATTGCTTGAAAATCTAACTTTAAGGTTGCTGTCTGTCATCAAAACCCAACCACAGATGCACATGTATACAACAGCAGTACATCAAGTTGTATTTTCTAGTGTTTTCTCAAGAAGATTTGGACTTGAAGCTTGGTTTACACTGGTAATGTGAGAGAAGTGGTGAAAGTATGACGGAAAAATCATATCTCTGTTTTAGCAGTAGCTCAGCCTGATTCTGAGTTTGCCATTACTGGTCAACACACAACGTTTAAGCACTGTCATTATGGATAATGAAGACACATCCGTGCTCACAGCAATTGTGCAGTTTTAAGTGTCAAATACTATCAAGGTGGTGCAGTACTTACATGCCTTCCACCAGTAGAGTGCAGCATACATCCTCCACACAATCCTTCACATATGGGCCCTTCACTCTCAGGTTAGAGCAGTGGTGTGCATGCACATTTTATCCCTGGCTGCTGGATGCCCCTATCAATAGTGGCTGAGGGACAAGCCCACTGGAAATTTCTACAGCTTGATGCCTTGCCTTTCATGTCCTACAAATACATGACAGTGCCATGTGGTCTTGCTCTTGCCCTAAAGGTTTTTATCAAATGTGTTGAAGCAGCATTAAATCCCCTGGCTTTGAGTTCATTTGTATATGCAGATGGACGATTAAACTCTCTGGAAAAGACACAGATTTGTACCCATTCAGACTATTCAGTGTTTGAGCGTGAGGTTAGTCTCTGTCCTACCGCTGCACGCTGTTAGTTGAGATAATAAATTCTTATTCCCTCCTTACAGCTTTTTGAAGAGAATGCTGCGCTCTCAGGAAATACCTCAGCCAACTGGGCCATTGGTATTTTCAGCTGTGCCGCTTGTCCTGTTCATGTTACAGTCCAGCATCTGCATCTGGTGTATAACCTTCCAAGCTCTAAATATTCACATTCTCCAGAATCATTTCTTACTATTGAAAATGACCAGTAAAACAGCATTGGCATAAAGGCATCACTAGAGAGTCACAGATGTGTGAAGCTCTCAGTGTGGGGAAAATTGAACTCTGGGGCAGAAAACCACCACAGAGGAAAAAAAAACAAACATGTGGGTTGAAGCAATTGAATCTTCAGGCCAGGCAGAACTGGCACTTGGGTGTGGACTGACTGAGAGGACAGTCAGTCTAACCCCTCAAAACATGCCCACAGAGAAGCAGGGCAAGCGGTCAACACATTCATTAGGATGCATAGGCTCTCAAAGAGAGTAAATCAGATCCCAGCTGACCAATTCAGGCTACTCCACAGAGACCTGGTGTGTAGAAGCGCTCTCAGTGAAGGACTGAAAAGCAGACAGTATGGTGTGTCTCAGCACACCACAGTAAGTTTTAGAAAACTGAGTGCAATCACAGACAGATGGCTACGCTTTCTCATTGATTGCTGAGATACCAAACAGAGAACCTAAGGTTACTAAATGTAGCCTAACTCTGGCTCTGTGGGGTGATGATGTATTTCATCCTGCAGTTTCCTCATCACATTGGGCATGAAATAAAGTTGGCTGAAGATAAAGCTGGATGAACATTTCTGAACTGCTGGATTTGCTGATACATGTTAATCCCAAACCACCTAACCTGTGAGTATTGTATTGTGCTCCTTTCTTTCACGTGATATCTTTCATGTCTTATGTGAAATGAAGAGCTCTCTTAACTGCTGTCTCCAATGGAGAGTTCTTCCTAAAACGTATAGCAATTTCAACCCACAGGGCGGCTGTGGCTCAGGCGGTAGAGCGGGTTGGCCGTTAATCGGAAGGTTCAATCCCTGGTTGCGTGTCGAAGTGTCCTTGGGCAAGATACTGAACCCCGAATTGCCCCTGGCTATTCCGCCAGTGTATGAGTGAGTGTGAATGTTAGTTTCCGTTTGAGCAGTGTATGAATGTGTGTGACTGGTGAATGCAGATGTAGTGTAAAAGCGCTTTGAGTGGTCGAAAAGACTAGAAAGGCGCTATACAAGTACGGAGCATTTACAATGGGAAGGAGAAATAACATCCTCACTACCTCAGTGGCATTCTTCTGACAGTGCCGGGTTAACAGGAGTGCCAGCCTGAGGCCCACACAAATAACATTCCAGTCACTGCGGGGGTCCTTCTGCAGGACTTGGATTGTCCCTCAGTGTTATAGTCTGGCATTTCATATCACATCACTCAAGTCCCCACATCGTTACACTGTTCAGCATAGGAGGTGCCACTAATCTCTGTTTCCTGGTATGCACACGTATCCTTAGTCGCTTTGTTCTTATTGTTTACCTTTGCAGTGTCAAACGGTAGACAAACTGAGGTGTGGACCCAAATGCAGACACTTGCAAGGTTGAGGTTTTAATGATTTATTAAAACAAAAACTTAGCTGAAACCAGCTTCCAAAGAGCACAAGGCAAGAATCCAAAAAAAGGTAAATCCAAAGAAAGATAATCCAAAGTAAGCAGGCTAATCCAAAAAAGAAGGAAAAATGTACAGGGCACAGAGAAAAGCAGAAAAATCAACATCAGACAAGGACGAAATACTGAACAGAACTAAAGGCTTAAATACACAGGCAAACGAGCAGGGAGGGAGTGCACAGGTGAACTACATGAGGAGCTAAAGAAACACAAAACCCAGAACCATAACAGACTAAAAACAGGGGAAAAAACATGAACACAAAACCAAAGTCCTAACATGCAGAGAATCTGAAAATGAGGTTAAATGGCACATTTTTTCCCCTTCCGTTAATAGGGAATGAATGATTTTACTTAGTCAGTGTGTCTCAGCTATTATATATATATATATATTATAACATTTTTAGCCTTGCTGGCTGGTTGGTCAGAGGGTCCACCACTTTTATCTTGACTGAAATATGTTAACAAGTACCGGATGGATTGGCACAAAATTTGACACAGATATTCACGTCCCCCTCAGAATGAATTGTTCTAACTTTGGTGATCCACTGACTTGTCATCTAGTGCCACTATCAGGTCAACAATTTAGGCTCAATGCTAGGGCAAATGCTTTGGTTTATGACCAAATACTTGCTTCAGCTGTACTCTGTGTTTAGTGCTAATTAGCAAATTTTAGCATGGTAACACACTAAACTCAGACTGTTAAAATGGTAAACATCAGCATGTTAGCATTGTCAATTTTTAGCATTTTAGCATGTCGACGCTAGCATTAAGGTCAAAGCACTCCTGTGCCAAAGTATTGCAACAAGAAAAATGCTACCATGGCTTTGTGTTGTTGTTTTCTCCTTAATATATTTGTATTTTTATTCTCATATTTAGTATTTTATATTTACGTTTATATTTAATATTTAAGTATATTTTTAGATTATGAGTAAGAACCTGTCTCGTGGCTTAAGTGCAATAACTGATGACCAATGACCTTTGTGCAATACATTTTACTTTATTTATTGTTACTGTGAGCTGCTAAAATGAGATTGCTCCAACAGAATTTCATTGTATGAATGCATGCAATGACAATAAAGATCTACCTATCAATCTATATCTTAGTGGTAGCAGGGAAATAACATACACAGAAGTATTTCAGGTGTTAGCCAGTCTGCTGTGTGTTTAATGCTAATTGAAATCTAGAATAAAAATATTTTGAGTGTTTTATTTTACTTTTTTCACAAAAAGTGAATAGGCTGGACCATCAGTAGGCCCATGTTCAATGCCACAAATATAATGAATTATTGATAACAGGAACAGCATTTGGAAATGACAAAATTCCTGAGTCACTGATGACTGTACTGTTAAACATACACACACAAACACGCACAAAGAATAGACTTGTTCTATCTCTTGACCTCAACCAAGAGAACAAGTCAAGCCTGCTAATAGCTTCTAAATCGAAGCAGGAAGCTCTTTAATGGTACACTCAGAGCTCAGAGTGTGGGGTTAAGATGGACTCTGCATCACTATAAATAGTGAATAAGGTCTGTTGTGCCCTGCATCTGGACTTTTTGTGGATGCAATTTGGTATCAAGTGTGACGCACAGTGGGGAAGAGCTTTGCCACTCTGGCTGGTCAGAAAAAAGGGGGGGGTTGAAAAACAAAGAGACTAGCATAAAATTTCTGGAAGCATACTGTCTGTATATGTAATGACTTTTCTATATAGTGTATAATATAAAAAAGAAAAATTACAGATGTAATTACTATGGATCATTTCTAAATAGTGGCTCAAAGAGGTCTTGCTCTCACTCTTACCAAGAAAACCAAATGTGTCCTCATTACACACATACATCCTAAGAGTATCCAACTACCTCCTGGAATATCGTGTTAGCTCAGTATGCATAGCTAATGGTCACTGATCCCGTGATTAACATTGCCCAATCTGTAACTGAGGACAGACCAGGTAGCACAAAGCCGTCCTGAGCCTCCACACTGAGTGCAGTGTGCATTTCGAGGGTGGCTTCCTTCAGGTTCTCTGGCACCTGGCCATCTATGCTCCTGAGCAGTGGCTCCATACACTGCCCCCCACCAGGCCTCCCAGTCATACATAACCTTTTTCTACAATCCCCTTTGGTTGCAGTGCAGCTGCTCTGCACAGCAGAAATGTGAAAGAAAATAATGTGTATGTGTGTGACATTTGTTAAAGAAAAGGAAAGAAGATGAGAGAGACCAAAAGAAGAAGAAGGAGGATGCAAAGGACACCATGTGTGTCTGCGTGGTATGTGGTATGTATGATGTGCAAATAAGCCCAGAGCTTTTTGGCACAATGGTTCGTGCCTCCTGTAGTCAGCCCATTCACCCATGGTTAAGATTCCTGCATATGTGAGGACCAAAGAAATGCTTGAATCAGTCTGCATATCAGAATATCACGTTTA